ATTGTCCAGAGCTGGCTTTGAACCTCGATCCTCCTGATCTTTGACTCTGAGAAGCTAGGATTCAGGTGTGAGTCACCAGTGCCTGGCTCTTACAGTTCTTTCAGATCATGTCATCTCCAAAGAGAGAGAATTTTAGGTTTTCATTCTCAGGCCTAATGTCATCTGTTTCTTTTCTTTTCCTGTTTGTTGACCAGGAGCAGTGAGAGAAGACAGGTCCTTGTTTTGTTTCTGATCTTGGAGTAAGCATTCAATCCTACACCTTGGGTTCAATATCAGATGTGGGTTTCAACCAGAAACTCGTTGGCTCAGCGACGTTATCTTGTAATGGTGTTCAACTTTAAAAAAAAAAGTTTTTTAAGTGTATTGAGTTGAATAACAATTTTGGTCCTGTTTTTCTGTTGATATGGTGTTACGATAATTTCTAGATGTTAAAGCAGGCTTTGTTCCTAGGATAAGTACCTCTTAGCCATGGTGCACAATCTTTGTATGGTAGCCAGTGTTTCACTGAGGATTTCCATAGCTGTGTTCACAGGCTACACCGGCCTGTGGTTTGCTTAGGAGTTTTGTTTGGTTTAGGTATCAGGCAAATACTGGTCTGAGTTGGGAAAAGTTCTCTTCCATTTTTTGGAAGAGATCGTGAAGGATTCTTGTTAGTTCTTTAAATGTTTAGGAGAATTCATGAAGTCACATGAACCTGGACTTTGCTTTGTGGGCATTTTTTTTTTCTTGGCAGTACTGAGGTTTGAACTCAGGGCCAGGTGGGCGTTCTAACACTTGAACCATGCACCCAGGCATTTTTGCTTTAGTTGTATTTTGAATAGGGTCTCATGTTTTTGTCGGGCCAGCCTGGATCAAGATCCTTCTATTTCCATCTCCCACATAGCTGGGATAACAGGTGTGCACCACCACGCCTGGCTCATTGGTTGAGACAGGGTCTTGCTATATAGCCCAGGCTAACTTTGAGCTTGCTATGCTCCTGACCCTGCCTCCTGAATGCTGAGATTACAGGCATCCACCACCATGCCCAGCTTAGTTTTAGCCTCACTTACAAGAGAAACCTTATAAACAGGTAGTTCTGAGAAAAGTAGGACCTTGATTCTTACTTGCTTGTAATAAAAATCATCTTTATCCTTTTTAACATATGAAGACAGACTTGGTATCACAGGCCTTCTGAAACCTAATTCTTTAATATCCCACCTTTGAGAAGGAACTTCTGTGGATGGAAAGAAGTCAGAAGCTCGAGTATTCGTTTTGTTAGTGTTGGGGACAGGGAGACAAGGCTTCTGAATGTCCCCCTTCAGGCCCATAGATGAGTTCTGCAGTGGAAAAAGATAAAATGGAGAGTGAGTAAAGAGACTCTGTGTTAAAGCCAGCCATTTAATTTTTCATGTGGTTCTACGTCAATATCCATGCATCAGAGCAGGACTAAGGTAAATGTCTGGTTATTTTCACAGTTTTCTTTGGCGTTTGTCTTGGTGCATAAATAGTGCTTTTCCATAGCCATGTTAAAATGCTCACTGTCAGGATGAATGAGGACAGCAGGGGCAGTGGGGTTACCTGAGTCTGTGAAGGTTTTAGGAATGGGAAGAATGGATTTCGTTGTTCTGTTTCTTGGCCCAGAGATTTTTAAGGAACTTACGGGGCTGATTGCAGTTCAGTTTCTGATCTTGGTTCCTAAACTTGGCTCTCACTTTCTCAGTCTTCATGGCTGAACTATATAAAATTCAGGTGTTGTAGCAACTAGTTCACTGACCTATGCTTATACAATACTTCTCCAAAGCACTCTTGTATACACTGTTACACTTGAGATGTATGACAGTCCTCTGACATTCATGACTCTCCTGAAAACTGATACACATGTGACACTGTAGCTGGCACCAAAAGTCAAAAAATCCGCTCTTACTGAAGAGAACTTAAGCTAGAGCATGGTGGTTCCTTAGAGTTAAGCTCAGCTTTAAAGGAGGTGATGTGAAGTATAGGAGCACTAGATTTGTTTACTCTGCCTTTCTCATTGAAAAAGGAACAGAACAAAACAGTTCCAGTTTAAATACTTCGCCACCATGAAAGCAAAACAAAGACTTATAACTGGGTTTGATTTTTTTTTTAATTTGACTGTACTGGGGTTTGAATGCAGGGCCCCATGCTTGCTAGGCAGGTGCTCTACTGCTTGATCCTTGCCCCCAGCCCTTTTTCACTGGTGATTTTGAAGACAGGATCTTGCTCTGTGCTCAGGCCAGCCTAGACCTGGACCCTCCTCTCATGCTTCCCGCCGTTGCTGGGATGACAGGTGCACCACCACACCATAGTTTCTTCTGTTGAAGTAGGGTGCTTGTGAACTTTTTGCTTGGGCTGGCCTTGAACCACAATCCTCCACATGTCTGACTTCCAGATAGCTAGGATTACAGGCATGAGCCACCATGCCTGGCTCTTTTGTTTGATTTTTATGACTGCTAGATTTGTTAAAATACCAGAGAAGTCTGTGAAGAACACTGTGTTCCGTTGCTGGCTTCTCAAAGGCAGCCCCTCCTGAATTAATTAAGAACAGCAGTATTGGATCACAGTGGTATGTAATTGATGACTCACTTACCACATAGGGAATACATGCCGTTATCCATTTGCTTCACTGAACATAGCAGCTTGACTGTAATACATGCTTTTTCACAGTTGTAGCAATAGCAGATTTAATGCAGGGTGCTTTAAGATATTAAAATTATGCAGTTGGTAAAATAAACGCATAATTTAAAATTTTCAATTGGTAATATTTGATTGAATTGAGGCCATCTTGCAATTGCTATCGAATCCTTGGCTTTGTAGTTCCCTGGTTATATTTGGACCATTTGGACCACAAGCACACTGGTGAAGGCTAGAAAAGCTTGAGGAGAGCGGGTTTTGGAAAGCTGAAACTTCCTAGGGAGTGGCACCGAGCAGCCAGCTTTTAAGGGGTGGTGGAAAGCCTTGGGGTAAGCTGGCATTTCAGAGCCACTGTATAGAATGCTAGTGCAGCGGTAAGCCATCATGCTGCCTGGGATTTGATGAACGTGGCTGATTCATACTTACAGCTTGGTTCTCTAGGGCTGTGGTGCAGCTCAGTGGTAGCACGCTCACCTAGCATGCATGAGGCCCTAGGTTCCATACCCAGTGTAATAAATAAATACATACAAAGTTTGCTTTTTTTGACCTAGCCATTATACTCAGGAATGAGCCCATCTTTCGAGGTACTTGACATTGTCGGTATGTGATACTAATAATGATTTCAAACAAACAAGTCAGAGTTTTTATGTCCAAATGGATGTTGTTCCCGAAGGCGGCTTGTCTGTGTACCCTGATCTGCCGGTGTTGATTCTCCCCTCTTCTTTTAGAGTTGCCTTAGCAACATCCGTGTCAGCATGCTGACACTAGAAAGTTTGGCCTTTCTAAAAGGGGATTTTTTTTCTTTCTCTTTTGGTGCTAAGGACCACTGTATGTGGTAGTTCTATCCCTGGCTGCACCCCCAGCCTCTCTTGAGCGTGATTTTCAGGAAAAGGTAGGCACCATACAGAAGCTTGTTAAATAAATGAAGTGAGTGTTCGGGAATCAGAGACTACACTACGGGCACACTGCATTATGGCTGGTGAGAACTAGATTCTGAAAACATTCAAAGGCGTAGCTGGGCGTGGTGATCCCAGCCACTTGGACAGTGTATATAGAAGGAGCGCATCCAGTCCAGAAGTGGGAGGCCCTATCTGAAAAATAACTAAAGCAAAAATGGCTGGAGGTGGGGCCCAGGAAGGGTGACGCCCTGAGTTCAAACCCCAGTATCACCAAAAAATAAAACAAAACCCGGTGTCATTATTGTACTGCGTGTTCCCCTTTGCAGTGACTGCTTTAAAGAACATTTACTTGGGGCAGAAGTTCAGGCTCATGTTTAAAGCTTCATCATCTTTACCTCATAGGCACATCCCAGATAAGAACTTGGGAACATTTCAAAGCTCAATACTCAGAAGATTAAATGACTGTGCCAGTCACCTAGTAATTGTGCCTAGGAAGATAATGAATAGCGGAGCTGTGGAGAGGGTGTTTGGATACCAGTGGGAGCAGGCAGAAACCTATTGAGATAGTCTAGGACTGTAATTACCACTGTAAGGACTCGAGGGGATTCACCTGATGATTCCAGGGACTTCCTCAGTGTTTCTTTGGGCTCAAGAAATGTGAAGAGGGAGTTCATAGGTAAATCATTAGGACACAGATTTACTGTTTATATGTATAATTTAATATACATATTACATATTTTTTCTAATTGGGAACATTAAAAGTTGTGAAAATACAGATGAGATAAATGCTATTTATAATCACAGCTATCAGAGAAATCCTTAATGACTCTAACTTCCTTTCTTCTTGAATTACTAAGAACATTGAAGCCAGGCACCAGTGGCTCATGCTTGTAATCCTAGCTGTTTGGGAGGCTGAGATCAGGAGGATTGCAATTTGAGGCCAACTCAGGCAAATAGTTCATGAGACCCCCTCATCTCCAAAATAAGCAGAGTAAAATGTGGCTTAAGTGATAGAACACCTGCTTTGCAAGTGTGAAGCCCTGAGTTGAAACCCTAGTCCCACCAAAAATTTAAAAAAGACATTAAGATCATAATGAACTTGCAACTTTGAGTATTGATTTTTTAAACTTATTTTGATGTCATTTTCTCAAGGCAATAAAAATTCTTCATATGCAAAATATTTAGGAGTGATCTTTTAGTTTATTACCCATCTCCATATAGTATCTATACTATTTAAACTTAACTGTATTGAGGAAATAGTGAAAGCTTTTATTTTCTCTCATATTCATGGTATCAAAAAAGTATCAGAACAAAATGAGGCAAAGCCTGAAAGGATCACGGGATAGGATTGTGCTGGTTCCACGAGCTTCACTTACTTATCACGTGTTAATGTTCTCTTGCTCATAGATAGCCACAGTTGCTTTGCTGTACAGAGAACTCAGAGGAAACATTTTGTGTCTTTCTTGCCAGGTGGTCGGAGGGAAGGTAAAGAAGCCAGGTAAACGTGGGCGGAAGCCGGCCAAAATTGACTTGAAAGCTAAACTCGAGAGGAGCCGGCAGAGTGCAAGAGAGTGCCGGGCCAGAAAGAAGCTGAGGTACCAGTACTTGGAGGAGCTGGTGTCCAGCCGGGAAAGAGCCATCTGCGCCCTCCGAGAGGAACTGGAAATGGTAAAGCCCTTCAGTAAAGCAATTTGGCAGTCAGGGAAAGACACGTCCACACATGAACACACCATTTCGCATGCCCAGTAGGCAAACGTTGGAAAGAGTTAGTCTGTTAACAAGTAGAGTGTTAGGCACATGGGCATTTTCATACACTGCTGGTGGAGCAGAACGTGCTGACTACTTCCTTGATCGTTTATGATAGAAAAATCTGGAAAATAACCTAGGTTTGCAACACTAGGGGTTAAGTAAACAACGCTACATTCATATATTGGACTACTTTGTAGCCAGTAAACAATCACAGTGCAGCCAGGTGCAGTGGCACATGCCTATAATCCCAGTACTCTGGAGGCTGAGGCAGGAGAATTTCAAGTTTGATGCCAGCTTGGACTACATAGTGAGACCCTGTTGCAAAAATAAAAATCACAATGTATATACATATTTACTATTACAGAAGGATGTTTACAATATATTGTTAAGTGGAAAAGCAGTATAGCAGTACGTAATTGTATAGTATGACACCATTTGTGCTTAAATGAATTTATTTTGCATGTTTTATTCATTCATTCAGACTTTGCCTAGTAGGTATTGAAATGTAAGAGTAGGTAAAACAGGAGCTGGTGAGTGGCTGAAGTGGCAAAGTCCCTGCCTAGCAAGAGTGAGGTTGGTTCAAGCCCTAGTGCCACCAAAAAAAAAAAAAAAAGAAAAGATAAGAGTAAGAAAAACAAACAGAGTAGGTAGAACAGAATTGCAGCCTCTTTACTATGAGCTCAGGGAGGAGGTGACATGTGGGGAAGAGAGAGATGGTACTGCCATAATTATTGCAGAGCTGGGCACACTGCCTCTGAACTCCAGCAGCATTTCACTGAATGCGTTTCACCTATTTCAGTACAAGCAGTGGTGCATGGCAATGGACCAAGGGAAAATCCCTTCCGAAATAAAGGCCCTCCTGACGGGAGAGGAGCAGAGCAAGTCTCAGCAGAATTCCAGCCGGCACCTGAAAACAGGGAAGACAGATGCTAGCAGCAATTCCTGTGAGTAAGCCCACCAGAGGGCTTCCTTCTACTTATGGGAGCATCTCCGGGTAGAGCTTCAGTTGACCACGTTCCCTGTTTTTCCTCAAGTATAATGAAACATTGATGTCATTTGTAATGCATTAATAGGCAAATGAAATGGCAATGAATTCCACTTACCAAAATACATTTTACATGGAGTCCGTAAAGAAAAAGTGTGAAGGTGGGCATGGTGGAGCACCTCTGTAATCCCAGCAGGGAGGCTGAGGCAGGAGGATTGTGAATTTGAGGCCGGCCTGGGCAGCGTAATATTCTTCTATAAATGTATGTCACAGCTGATTTTCCATTCATCCACTGGTAGCCATTTGTTTTTACCTTTTGGCTACTGTGAGCAGTGGTGCTTGAACATGTGTTTCCAAGTATTTGTGCACTGCCTTCAGTGCTTGTGAGTGTTTACCCAGAAGTAAGTCCTACCATGTAGAAACCCTGTGTTTAACGTTGTGAAGACCTGCAGACTGCTTGCCCCATGGCAGAAAGCTTGTGTTCCCACCAGCAGTGAGTGACTGTCAGGTTTTCTACATCTCATCAGTTCTTCCATTTATTTTTATTTTTATTTTTTTCAGTACTGGGGTTTGAACTCAGGGCCTCACTCTTGCTAGGCAGGTGCTCTACCACTTGAGCCACTCTGCCCGCCCTCCATTTTTATTTTTTAAAAGAAATGAGGTCTCACTGTGTTGCCCAGGCTGACTGACCACGAACTCCTGGGCTCAAGTGATCATCCTGACTCAGCCTTTTGGGTAGCCAGGACTACAGGCATGTGCCACTGTGCCCAGCTTTTTTTTTTAACTACAGCCATCCTAGTGAGTGTGAGGTAGCATCTCACTGTGGGTTTTGTTGTTGTGTTTCTGTTTTGAGACAAGGTCTTGCTCTGTAGCCCAAACTGGCCTGGAACTCACTATAATGTCCAGGTTGATCTCAAACTCACAGTCCTCTTGCTTCAACCTCCCTGAGTGCTGGGATTACAGGTGTGAGCCACCATGTTCAGCTTTCATTGTGGTTTTGATTTGCATTTCTCTACCAACTAATGATTTTGAGCATGTTTTTGTCTGCCATTTTAGATCTTATCTGGAAGGATATCTGAGTTCACCAACGTTGTCGTTGGATTATTTTAGTTTTGTTTTGAGTTGTAAGTGTTCTTTATTTACTCTGGATACCAGACTATTATTTAATATGATGTGATTTTCAGAATTTCTACTGTTTAAGCTATCTTTTCACTTTCTTGACAGTGTTCATGCTCAAAAGGTTTTCATTTTAATGAGGTCTGACTTACCTTTTTTTTCCATCTTCTGTTGTTCATACTTTCGGTGTCATATCCAAGACTCCATTCCCAATTCCAACTTGTGCAGATTTGCTGTTTTCATCTAAGAATTTTGTGTTAGCTCCTTTGTTTGGGTTATTGACCCAATGTTGTGTTTTTTTCATATGGTGTGAGATAGGAACCCATGTGTTGCATGTGGATTTCCAGTTGTTCCAGCAGCATTATAGAAGAGACTGTAAAGATTTTAGTTTGATGTTAGGAGCTGGGTATGGTGGCACATGTCTGTAATCCCAGCACCCAGGGAGGCTGAGGCAGGAGGATTGTGGACATACATAGCAAGCTCTGTCTCAAAAAAGTGAAGGGGAAGGAATGAGAATGAGATGTCAGGGTTTCTTCATTACAGCGACTACTCTAAAGAGTATCAGATAGTTAGGAGATGTTACCAATTTGTTATCTTTTAAAAATGTTTATGAAATTGAAGGAATTGACTTTCTGATCATCTTTATTAAATAACATCAGACTTTAATCTGAATTAGTGAGTAAATATGAATTAGCCTATTTTTCTTTAAATTTGTGTTTTTAGAAATTAGCCTTCCTTTATATACTAACCTGGAAAAAAAATTCATGAATTTTAAAACAGGTTAACCAAACCTTACCGACTTCAGAACCATTCTCACATTGGTGACTCTGGTTTCTTTTCCAGGGTGAAGGTCACATAAGTGCAGGGTCAGCGGCTGAAGCCAGCTGTTGCTGCTGAATGTAGCGGGCCAGCTGTGGTTCTTGGTGCCATTTACCTGAGGCTCAGTGGTCATCTCTAAGTCTGCAGTTCCCACCAGCGTGTGATGGCAGATCACAGGGTCGTGCACTCCTTCAGCACATTCAGAGCTGCTCTGTGCTGCCATGACGGTTAGCGTGCCGTGATGCTTGAAGACACGAGACAGAGAGACATGGGTGAAGACTGCATTTTTGCACCTTAACTCACATTGCTTCTTGGTTAATTTATGTTCTTTGTGTGATTGTACACGTATGTGTGTTCAGCTGTCACTTCCTGTCATGTTTTTGACTGACCTACAAAGAGAAACCAAATGGGCTGATTTACCAAGTTCTCAGCCTCACGGACCTAATATTCTTTCCTTATATTTACTTGAGCAATGTTTATTTTCTGCACAAACCATGATTTCTCCTGTGAGCCATTCCAGCAGAAGCTGTGAATCTGTATTAACAAAAATATACATTTCTATTTTTATAATCCATAGTGATATGCCTGTCTGAAATGTACATGTTAACAAAATCTATCCAGAGAATCCTCAAGACAGCCTCTATTTTAAACTGTTGCTGCTGTCTCACACACTGTATTTGTAAGTGCTTAGGGCCAAATCCACATGTGGAGAATAATTAGTCAAATTTTATTTTGAAGCAAGAAATAACCTTTCAGGCATTTCAGTAGCATATGTCATCTTAACCTGTAGCACGCATGGATGCATACGTGTTCCTGTTGTCTGTCTGTCTGTGTACGTGGAGAGGACAGGAGTCAGTGCTCACACACATTTTCTTGTGTACTCAATGAAATCAGAGAATTTTTCAGAATAAAACTAGCTGATGAGACTGAGTTTCTGCCTTGGTATCTGGAACAACATCTAGTGGCTGTCCCTGTAGTGACTGAGTTTCTCCCGACAGTAGTGCGTTGTGCCCTGCAGTAGCAGGCTGGCAGCCGGGACAGTTCTTTGAGTTCCTATCACAGCTGCACTTTCTTCCTGACCACCAACCATCAGGCGTATAGTGACAGACTAACAGTCTGTGGAATTCCCCTGGAAACCTTTATCATGCCTTCTCTTTTTAGTCTCTTTGCTGTGAAATTATAACTGCTCTTCACTCAAATGAAGCAAGTGTTGGCTTCCAAACAAGACATGCTTCCTTATAGACTGGCCATTTGCAAGGTGGCAGCATAGTCTAGGTTGTCTCTGAGGTGGAACATGAGGTGGACCACATAGTTTATTCTAGAAGTACTTCTGCTCCCTGGCCATGCATTTGAATAAGGCACCTTCCCATAGCCTGGGCTCCTGAATCCCTCTGTGCTTAGGTTGCAATTGCAGATCTGAGGCTGGTCCTGGTGACTACTGATGGACCACTAGCCCAGCTCGTTGGGATCTGTGTTTAGGCAGTTGGGAGTTTTAGGTATTTATGTCTTCTAGGACCATAAATGTAAACAGATTAATGACTGCTGATGTTCAGGCTTTAAGAATTGAGGCACTTTAAATACAGTACTCAGATTGGCTTGGGTATATTTTTGTAGCCTGTCTACTCAATTGTGTATTTTTATTTTGCAAAACTACCCAAGACTTCCTTTATGTTGCTAGTTGAGCACCTTTTGAATTGAGTTGTTTTCAAAGCAAACATTCCAGAACAAATGTGGCTCTTCACTGGAATGTCTCCATTGTGCTCCAAGGGTTTCTTCTCGGGTTGTAATTCTCAGCGACAGGTTGTTCGAGTTTCCTCCCCTTGCCCTGGTATCTTCACAAGAGCAGAGACCTGTCCTTAGATGCAGGGCATGTCATTTGGGGTGAAAGTAAGTTACAGTTTATCTGAGTTTCTTCTTCAAGCTGTCTGTCTGGTATTTTGGAGTAGATCAAGCCACAAGCACGTTTCTTGTGTGAATGAGGGCCGTTTGGGCTGCTCTGATGTCGTGTTGGCCACATGCTTTGGCCACTTGGAAACATGCAGTAAATGTTGCTGGAGCACTTCCTTCCTCAGTGGCCACACAGCATGGTGACAGTGACAGCAGGCTGAGAGGACAGGGATGGGTGGTGGGGGAAGGGGGAGGAGTCAACACAGCTGTGTTTTCCTTTTCTTTTCCCCCCAAAGAAAGAAAAGTAAGCGGGAACAGATCAATGTATCCCCACAGGCAGTCTGTCGGTATTCCAACATCAGCTTCCACCTGTCAGAGCAGCTGAGTGTGACCTGGAACGAGTCCCATCAGGTCAGGTTTTAGGGCCAGTCAGAATTATTCAAGCTTTTTTCTATTCTATGTAAGTCAGAGCTGTCTTACTTCAGCAAACTCCCATCTGTGTTGGCCAGCTGGTGACAGTACTTAGCATCACCACTTAGCGTTTTATTTGATCATCTTGGAATTATGATAGATTTCACTTGACTAATTACAGAAAGTACAGGTTTAAACTAAACTGACCTTTAGTTAAAGGGAACTAGAATTTAAAAACATAAATGCTTTGTTTCCCAAGAAATTGGTTGCATGTTATCAGTTACATGTTTTGTTTTAAAAGGAGGGAGATCGTTAAACCACATGGTGTTGGGGGACACTGAAAGAATTTTCTTTCTCTGAAGAGCGTTGTATAATTCTATTTTCATGAAAAACAAACTATCTTCACCAGAGCCATGTCAGGTTGTGTGTTTCAAGTACTGCAGTGTGTCTGTCTGCCTGGAGCAATAAAAACGTGGCATTTATAGGCAAGAACAGGTCTCGGTCCGTTTCTGAGTCACCTTGCATGATTTCATCTCATCTGTTAAAGAAAGGGGAAGACTTACCTTCCCAGAGCCACTGGTGAGTGGGGTAGGAGAAAGTGCTTATTAAGAAGGAGATCCAGTCAGTATCCACAGTACAGCTGTATTGACTGCTAGGATTTAAAGCACTGAAAATACGTGCATTTATTTAATGAGCTGGAATGTAAACATAAAGTTACAGGAACCACATTTCCCTGGGCTTTATTATGTCTGTCTTTGCAGTGGTATAGTTGGAGGCTCATGAAAAAGGGAAAAAAAAGTAGAGGAAAGAAATAAGCGCTTTCTATTAATTAGACTGATTTTAAGAACAACTAATGTTCTAGCTAGCAATATTGTCCTGCATGAAGCAGGTCTAGGGCTGCAAGGTAATTTGGGGTGTTTCCCCTATTTCACCCATTTTTCTTAACTACATGTAAGGTGTGTTGGTTGCGTACTGCACAAGGCACACAGCTAAAAGTGGATGGGCCCAGAATGCAGTTCACATCAAAAGCCACGTGTGGAGGAACTGGCCATCTGCTCACCAAGGTGCAGGTGTGGCCTGTGTCTCACAGAGGTGGCCATTTGTAATTAGCTAAATGGGGAACCCTTTCTTAGTTCCTCCACCCAGCCAGAGTCCTTTGGTATGTGGCTATGTGGCAGCTGGCTGGCTTTCCAGAGCAGCACCAATCACACAAATCTTTTCCCAACCCCGCATGTGGCAATGTAGGCGTGGCAGCCTTTAGTCAGCTGTGGCGAGAGCACTGACACTGCACAAGCCAGCAGATGCTGCAGATCTCGGAAGCCCCCACCTGAGAGCCAGTTTCCACTGTGGGCCAGCATGGCCCTGGCTGGTACAGGCACATTGGAGGCCCCAAAGTACCCAGCTGAAGGCCACGTGGGCTGGAAGGACACGTCCCATGAGGTGTGAGCAGCCTGGCCATCCTCTAATCTAGATCATTTCCCAAAACGGTGTACTTGCGACTCAAACTATCATGCCAGCCCAGCCCCACTGCAGAAAGGATGCCTGGATTCCTAAATCAGGCCCTCAGCTCTAAGTAGACACAGCCAGATCGCCTACTGGATCTGGCATGGAGCCAGCAACTCCTGAGCTGGAGTGGGCTGCAGCTGGCCACCGAGCTCTGGGTTACAGGCCATTTGGATTCTGCAGTAACACAGACGCAGGAAATTTGCCTGTGATCCAACCAAACCTACCAACCTTGCCAGCACTTGCTTCCTGGCAGACAACCAGGCCAGCATGTCACAACCCTGAGCCCAACATGGAATTGAGTCATGGCCAGAGGCCACCCCAAGCCCACACTGCGTTTGGGCCCTTGTCAGCTCAATGCAGGAAGACCATGCCTGTCAGCACAGGGAGGGAAGGTTGGTTACGTCCTCACCAGGCCTGTGTGAAATGCATTTCTAGATGCTTTCACACCACAGAAGCTGATTCGGAAGTTATTTACAAATAGAAGTGTGCAAGAACAGCCAAATTTGTTGAAAGAAAAAATGAGGAAGCCGGGAACTGGTGGCTCCCCGCTATAATCCTAGCTACTGAGATCTGGAGGATCTCGGTTTGAGGCCAGCCCAGGCAAATATTTGTTCATGAGACCTCCATCTCTGAAATAACCAGAGAAAAATGGACTGGAGGTGTGGCTCAAGCCATAGAGTGCTAGCTTTGTAAGTGTGAAGCCCTGAGTTCAAACCTCAGTCCACCAAAACAAGAGTGGAAAGACTTTCTAGGGAAGACCTATGTGACTAGTCAGTGTGACTACACAATATTAACAATGTCTCTTGAAAAATCACCATAACAAACCTCTTCTGGACGAATGACAAAATAGAAAAACTGTGCTTTGCGTGACATTCTTCCTTAAATAGAGCAGCATGTTCGAAAGTGAAAATGATTGGCTGAGGCAGGTGGGCATTGACCCCAAGCCCAACCAATCAGAGTCAAAGACATTCCTGCAGCTTTCCTGAGTTCCTGGGAAGCAAGGTGCTCTTCCTGCTGAAGTTAAGATAAGAAGGGGTGGCTGCTCCCACCACAGCGAAGGGGCACAAGGCGGGGGACAGTCCACTCCCTGTTGCCTCCTTTGAGTCTTGAACCCAGTTTTGCCTGAAGCTGGGCTCCCACAACTTCTTAGGGGAGCCAGTCCATTGTGTTTTTGCTGAAGCCAGTTTGGAGCTGTCACTTAACATCAAAGGTGACCTAACTGATTACAATTCACTATGAAAAAGGGCAAGGAAGTGAAACGAGGCCTGCTTTTAAACACAGCTATTCAACCTCACTCATCAGGAAATGTGTGTTACAACGTAAGGGTATTTTATCTGCCCGATTGGCAAACCGTGCATGAATAAAGCTTCCATTGGTAGGTTTGGGGAGACCAGTGTGCTCAGAAGCCATTGGTGGGAGTGTAAATCCAGCTGCCAGGAGGAGGCACAACATTCTGAAAACAGGCAAAGAAGTGAAATGAAAGGTAATTTAAACGTCTATCCAAATGCAAATACGCTTTGGCACAGATAATATCAGCTCTTGTGCTCAAATATACCTGAATAAGACGTTGCCCACTGCGTGTCTGTAAGACCGAAAGACGGAACACAACTTCGTTTTCTAACAAGGGGCTGTTTGAATAAATTTATGGTACAACCTCACAAAGGAATACTATGCTGTCATTAAAAAGAATGTGCTTATATGGAGTGACTCTCAACATATAACAAAAATAGTAAAATACCAAAATAGTTTGTATAATATGCTCTTAATTGTATTTTTTTTTTTTTTGTCATACTGGAGTTTGAATTCAAGGCCTGGCACTTGCTAGGCAGGGACTCTACCACTTGAGCCACTCCACCAGCCATGTTAACTATGTGTGTGTGTGCATACAAACATATATGTGTGTATATATACATATTATTTTTGAGATAGGGTCATGCTTTATGGCCAGGCCAGCTGGGACTGCAATCCTCATTTATGTTTCCCATTTGGCTGGGACAACATACAGGCACAACTGCACCCAGCCCTTGGTTGAGATAGGGTCTTGCAAACTTTTTGCCTGGGCTGACCTTGAACCACAATCCTCCCAATCTCTGCCTCCTGAGTAGCTGGGATTACAGATGTGAGCCAATGTGCCTGGCCTACTTTGTTGTATTTTTAACGGGTGTGATATTTTATCACCATGTATTTGCTTCTGTGTGCATAGACTATTTCTGTTCATTCAAAGCGTAATAGCCTTTATCTGCAGAGAGGGGTGCTGGCAAACAAGAAGTGCAGCTAGAGAGAGGTCCACTTTTCACACGGCCTCCGTTGTTGGGGCCGACACCTTCAACAAGGTCCCCGATGATGGCTGCCTCCTGGAACCCACACCCTTGTCTACTCTCCTTCCCTGGCATATGGCAGACTGTGGTGACGCGCTTCTGACCAGTAGAACGCAGAAAGGCGATGGGACGTCACTGGTGTGACAGGGTTGTGTAAGCAGTGACTTCTGCCAGGCTGGAAAGACCCACGTGAAGGCACCGAGCTAGGCCTGCAGCTGGTGCCAGCACCAGGAACTGAATCTTGATAGCAGCTAAGGTAAGGCCGCCTTATTCGCGGGTTTGTTCCTCGTGGTTCTGACCCAGCACTGTCAGGAAATGAAAATAAACACGAAATCAAAAGAAATGCCAAGGGCTGGCGGAGTGGCTCAAGTGGCAGAGCACCTGCCTAGCAAGAGCGAGGAGGCCCTGACTTCAAACCCCAGTGCCACCAAAAAGATAAAAATAGAAAATAAAAATAAAAATAAAAACAGATGGGCTGGGAGCACAGCTCAAGGGCTAGAGCACATGCCTGGCAAGCATGAGGCCCAGGGTTCGATCCCCAGTACCAGAAAGCAAAAACGGGGCGGTTAGAATCAACGGAATGCTTCCTCACACAACACGCGGCTTGACCTTTCCTTAAATATTCGCCTGCCATTTCATCTACAAAGTTGAGAGCATCTTCCAAATGACAAAAAGGCAATAGCGACCCGCCTTCCCTTTATTCAGGCTCCACATTCACCAAGCAGCTTCCAAAGACACCGGATCTGCGCACAGAGGGCTTACATGCGTCTGGCCCCTGGACTGGAACACTCTCCCTGTCAATCGCTCATGGGTCCTCTGGTCAGTGTACCCACGTCAGGACAGCCGTGGCGCAGCCAATCAGCTTGGGGACAGGGAGGCCAGTTTGGTTTAATCCCACCATGATCACCAGAAACACCTGGGGTCTGGTGACCAGTTCACCCAGCCTGTTGCCAAGTGTGGTGGCTGTGCAGGGCCTGCCTTTCACCTCCAGCAGCCTAGCCGCCCATGTTCACCATCACCCCGCAGCTGAGCCAGGCCCGCACAGAGCTCACGGGCTCTAGCTCAGCGGAGTCTTCATGTGTGGGCTTTGAACTGTTTCTTTTACAGCACAAAACCTATCGTCTTCCTTAGTCTTCCGAACAGTAGGCTCATACATCTCTAAAAGAAAAAACAAAACAAAAAGAAGCCATAAACCATTCTGCTAGTTCCAAATTTCTCCTCCAAGTTGTTTTCATGGGTCTGGGATTGAACCTGGCCTTGCCCACACCCGGCGTGAGCACCTCCCACCCCGACTCAAACGTCTCTACAACATTCGTGCTCACGTTTAAGCCTTTGGCTCTTCTGTTGTTTTTTCTCTGCTCACCAAATAGCTTTTCAAAATGCCTCGCCCTCACTTTCACCTGAGTCCACTTAGGCTTCTGCTTACCACGTAATTTGCTTATGGCTTAACTGAAAACAGTTGCTCTGCGTGTTTGCTACGATGGTGGCCTGTAATGGCCAAGAGTGATTTAAGTCACATGTCCCTGTTTTTCATCTTTACCGGAGTGAACAGTTGACTATCAGCCAGCACTGAGCTTTCCTCATTGGTACTCTGTGGTATTCAGTGAGGAGCCAACAGAACAGTGTGGATGAACGTCTTCACTCCTAGCCAGGCGCCGGTGGCTCACGTCTGCGACTCTAGCTACTCGGAGATTGAGATCGGGATGAGTGAGGTTCGACGCCAGGCCAGGCAAATAGTTATCAAGACCCCATCTCCAAAATAACCAGAACAAAATGGGATGGAGGTGTGGCTCAAGCAGTAAAGGGCATAGTTTTCGAGTGCAAAGCCATGAGTTCAAGTCCCAGTCCTACCCAAAAAAAGTCACTCTCATGTAAATTCTGTGACTAAAGCATTCCTTCTTAAGGAACATTCCAAGGGGGTGAGGAAAGGTTCTTTGGGGTGAGAGGGGAGTCAGCCTGTCACCACCTACCTTCCTTCCATACAAGTTCCTGCTACCACTTTTTCCAGCCACCTCGTCATCTGAAATGAAACTAAACAAGGAAAGGTGGGCTGGAGCAGGGTTCAAATGGTACAGTGCCTGCCTAGCAAGCATGAGGTCCTGAGTTCAAATCCTAGTACTGCCCAAAAAAAAAAAAAATCAAAGAGCGTGTAAGAGAAACAATACAGGCCTAAAATGAATGTTCCTGCCTACTCACCAGCTGCTGGTGCACAGCCCCCTGTGGGAAACCCTCCATCCCGCAATGAGCGAGTCCATGAGTTCTCAGCCAAGGGATAAAAGCAGCAGAGAGGGGAGGAGAGGCCTGGTGATGTGGGTGGTGCTGCCGCCAGCCTGACGGTCTGATGGGCCTTTCTGACAACGGTCACATTTGTAAAGTGGGCTTAGAACAATATTTTGACTAGAGATCTCAGGTCTGTAAAGGGTATTAATTGGGATTTCCCGCAATGTTTAGAAGCTTTGTGTTTGGAACACACTGATTGGCTAATCTACAGCTGCATCTGGGGACTCAGCCATTTCCACCCTCTTGTTGCTAGGAGACAAGGCCTCTGAGTCCCCAGTGTGGCTGGCATGGGAAGAGCTGGCAGGCGAGGCCGCTGGCCACAGTGCCACCTAGCGGTCATTTTGAGGAACTGCTAGAGGGAGGAGTTTTGTCCTGTTTCCCAGCGCCCCCAGCCCTTGTCTCTCTTTCAGATAAATTCAAACCCCAGAACTGTCAGAAATAAGTGAATAAATAAAAACTTAAAACTACTGCAGGAGTCTTTTGTATTTTTGAACAAGTTTGGACCATAAAGTGCAAGGGTCAAGTGACATAAGTATCTGCCTGATTTTGTTTTAGAGTATCATTTGCCAAGTAAGACTGAGGCGGAAGAGGAAAAGGGAGAAAAATATGAGATACTCCTTTTATCTTTTGCTTTTGTCAATTGAAGGAACCATCTCAACTTGAAAACATCAAGTCAGGTGTGGTGGTTCACACCTGTAATCCCAGCTACTCAGGAGGCAGAGATCAGGAGGATCGAAGTTTGAGGCTAGCCCAGGCAAAAGGTTTGTGAGCCTCCATCTCAATCAATAAACAGCATTGTGGTGTATCTGTGTAATCCCAGCTATGTGTAAGGTGTAAGGAGAAGGAGGATGGTTTTCTGAGACTGGCCCTGGTTAAAAACTTAAGATCCTACCTGAAAAATAACTAAAGCAAGAGAAGCCTACGGGAGTGGCTCAAGTGGTGAAGCACCTACCTGCAAGCACAAGGCCCTGAGTTCAAACCCCACTACTGAAAAAGAAAAAATTAGCTGTGTAGATGTTTTGTAGATTAAATGTTTTGTTGTTATTCTTTGCCCCGAACACCAGCCCCAATCTTGTCTTATCTCCTGGGGTCTGTGAGGCGGGAGTGGACAGGCTACCTTCTTCATATCAAAATATTCAGTGCAAGAACCAACCCGCAGCCAAGGGAAGGGGAGGGCCAGCCTGTTAAATTTCATCTAAGACTTTTTAAAAGATAGCCAGATTATTTTAGACATTATGATTTCACCAAGGTTGTGGTCAGGAGGCCAATTGAGGCCTGGCTGAGGGTGTGTGGCCACAGTGTCCACTAAGGAGACATCTGAAACATCAGGAAAGGGGTCTGAGTTCCAGCTCTGCCACCTTCTAGCCTGGGCAAGACATGTCACTTTGGAGTTCTCGTTTTCTCATCTATAAAACAGAGAAGAAATGTATCACAGAATTGTGGGGAGGATGAAATGATGCATTTTGCAATCCTTGTTAACTCGGGCATAAACCCCATGCCAGTCTTGTCTGGAGCCCTTTCTTGTTTAATACGAACATTTTCTAACTGTGGCGGCATTAGATTTGAAATTATGGGAATATGGGAACCAGAGAACAAAATCCTCAGCTACACAAGCAAAGAAGAGTGACTCTGGCTGCATATGGCGCTGGGACCTGAGAGATGAAAGGAAGGAGGGCTGGCTGCAGGAGGGGCCTCGTGTCTGAGTTTCTAGGAGAAATGGAAAGTTGACCTTTGCCCTTGCTGTCCTCGTGGACAGTGGGAGGGCAGGAAGTTGAAGGTCTCTGTTTGAATGGCAGAGCGCAGAGAAATGTCATCTGTCCCTTCTCCACTGGGCACGCCCTTGTGGACAACTTGAAGGGAGATAAGTGTCCAAGAAACAGCCTAGACGGGACACAGATGTGCGGGGACAGCACACGGCTTCCGAGTTTCCCGGGCCTCCTTGGCTGCCTGGATGAAGGAAGAAAAGAAAAGACACTCGGGTAAGGCTAAGCACGAATTCCCAAGAGCCTAATTAAAACTCGATGACAGGCCACTTCCCAGCAAGCTCCACTGCATCCAGCAGACCGAGCACTTTCCATAGCAGTGACTCCATGGAACAAGGTGATGTGAAAACAGTGTTGCTCTTCCGAAATGTTCCTGAAATGCATGATGGGAGATGCCAATGAAGAGGAAGTCCTCCTTGTAAAAATTCAGCAGGGAAAAGGAAAAGACAAAATAAACCAAGGTGAAACCATTAACCATAGACGGTTTGCTTTATGCTTTGGGGACCTCACGATAAATGAAATAAATGTAGGAAGGACTTTGTTCTAGGCACCTAACTACTACAGAAAAGCAACCAGAACAAAAGCCACAAACCAAGCCACGAACCGTGATCTAATAAACGCGTGCATTTTACAAAACAACTCTGAAAGCTATTTTTATAGTCAAAGTTTTTAATCTCTGGCGCGCAATTCTGAGAAATTAGACAAACGTATTTGGCGGGTTTGAGTTAATGGGCCACGCCAGCTTCTTTTCCTTGGCTTCTCTGTCGAATGAGTCATAGATGGCGTCTTTGGTTATGGACTTGGCCATGGGAGGGATTTCGGAAATACCGACATAGTTTTTTTTGGCCATCCTTGAACTCGTTGTGATAGTGTAGGCGTTGCTCCGGTAGCATTTCATGGAGGACATGCAGAAGGTCTCTCTCACCCCCCTCCTAAAGTTAGCGTTATAAATTGAGTACAGGGTGGGCTTGGAGGCTGACGAGCTAAAGGATAACCACGTGACGGCTGTGAAGACCAGGGAGCTTTGCCTGTCGTCTTGCTCGTGCGGGTGCCAGAGCTGAGCCACGTGGAAAGGCAGCCAGGAGCACAGGAAGAAGAGGTTTAGGAGGAGGAACATCTTGACTGTCCTCACCTTTGTCCTGGGGACAACATTCATCGTCCTCCTCACTGTGCGGCCATCAGAGCCGATTCTCCAGATGTACTTGACGACCTTCTGGTAAAACAAGACGATGAGGATGGATGGAATGACAAAGCCCACCAGGAAGTGGAGGACGGTGTAGGTGGTCCCTCCCCAGGAGGACGGGAGGAAGTAGCTGCAGCGACTGTCCCAGCTGGAGCCATACAAAAAGAACACGGGGGCCACGAAGGCCGCGTGGAACACCCATGAGGCTGCGATCATTTTCTTGGCTTTTTCTCGGGACACCTTGAAGCTCAGTGGGTACACGATGGTGTAGAAACGGTCAATACAGATGGACAGCAGGACGTAGATCTGGACGCCCGGAGTGAGGTACTGCAAGTACCGCACGACCTTGCACGTGGCGCTGCCCAGGGTCCACCTTCCCGTGGTGACCTGGAGCAGGACAAAAGGCGTGCTGGCCACGCTGAGGAGGAGGTCCGCACAGGCCATGGAGACCACGAAGTAGTTGGTGGTGGACTGAGTCCTCCTGCTCCTGTGGATGACCAGGCAGACCAGTGAGTTGCCAAAGATGGAGAACAACCACAGAGCCCCGAAGAAAATGCTAGCCGTGGCCACTTCCCCGGGCCCCAGTCTGTACTGCAGGTCTGACTTGTTGCTGCTCACACCGTGCTCCTCTGCGTACAATCCCGGCAGGTCCTGGCTGGACACGGGCACAGCCGTCTCAGTGCAGCTGTGGTTCTGCAGAGTCGCCACAAGTGTAGGGACAGGCAAAGGTGGCTTGCCGTGGTCCATTCTGTGAGCAAAAACCATATTCACCTTTCTCTCTTAGTTCTGGATAAGAAAAGAAGAATGAGGCCTCCTGTTAAAATTACGTCATTACAGACATAACTATATATATATTTTTTGGGGGGTGGGACTGGAGTTTGAACTCAGGGCTTCATGCTTGAGGTGCTCTACTGCTTAAGCCACACCATTTTGCCCTGGTTATTTTGGAGATAGGGTCTCTGGAACTATTTGCCCAGGCTGCCCTCAAACTGTGATCCTCCTGATCTCAGCCTCCCAAGTGGCTGGGATTACAGGCATGAGCCACCAGTGCCCGGCTGACTGACAATCTTATTTGATACTTTTCAAAGGGTGGGACTTGTGTAGTGGCAGGAAAACAGAACTACTAAGAGATGTTCTGGCCCCATCTCTTTTTCATTTCAGAATGAGCGTGGGGTCTCCCTGGCCTCAGCATCACCTGACCCTTGGTCAGGTGTGGTAGAAATCTTCTCAGGGTTTCCTTCCCCCATGGAGGGTCACAGAGGACAGGGGAGCTCAGGCTGGCTTGTGGTATGGGTGGTGGTGTCGCCTGAAGAACTGCAGGAATTCTGGGCACACATGTGAGAAGCTCCTAGATGGCAGGTCAGGGCTGTGGCTCAGTGGCAGAGCGCTTGCCTAGCATGCACAGGGCCCTCATTCTACCCCCAGCACCGCCAAAACCCAACCAAAAGAGGAGTTCAGAGATGATGTAACAGTGCGCAGTGAGCTGCAAGAGAAGGAAACACACAGATGCCGGTTACACAAACAGCTACGGGAGTCTGAGAGCACAGCCTGGCTGAGTCCTGGGAAGGACCCATCCTTCCTGACTCGGACTTGCTATTCTAGAAGCAATCGCCCCTGCTGTGGGAGCCAGAAGGAGCTCCTCGTTTATTTATTCATTTAGGTTGGTTGGTTGTTTGGTTTCTGAGACGGGATCATGCTATGTAGCTCAGGCTGGCCTTGAGAACTCACAATCCTCCTGCTTCAGCCTCCCACATGCTGGGATTACAGGCATGTACCACCATACCCAGCAGCAGTTCCTAAGTAAATGATATCTGAAAATAGCTTGTTTTCTTTCCAAAAGATGAACATGTGCTAACAGCATGTCACTTTCCAGTGACATATTTTTTGATGCCATTCTGTTGTTGCTCCTTCATAAAATAAAATACTGACCGAAGAACATACAAGATGTCCTCTCGGGCATGTAAGCAGATTACCAGAGATCTTATGGCCATCAGGTGATTAAAAATAATAAAATATAAGCGCTATAAATTTAAAGCTTATAATGCTTAGTATACAATAAGAGAAAGTTTAGCCTTAACTTTTTTTTAATTATTCAGTGAGAAAAAAATTTACACTTACAAACACCTTGTAGGGCAGGGCAGTGGGCTTGAATCTAGGCTGTGCTTGCTGGGCGGTGACTCTAGCTCTGCCACTTGAGCCACACCTCTAGCCATACAATGTCCTACTTTTTCTGTGTATGATCTTCTTCATTATTATTGCTGTGCTGGGGCACACTGTGACATTTACCAAATGTAGTTTTTAATAGGTAAAAAGACTGCAATATGGCGGCTCATTCAATGAAAGCAGAATTGATTTTGCTCACAGCTGAAGCACAGAAGTCTTTGAACACAGAGAGAAAGCACACAATTGAATCCGCAATAACCACAGCAGCACCAGTCACCAAGGTGAGATAAGGAGGAGCGTGCATCTTTCAAAGTTTCGCTCACTAGAAGTGAAGCGCCCATGTGGGTTCTGGCCACCTGAAGAGTCCATCTGGCTGTTGCCAAGGGCGTGTGGCTCTAGCCACAGCCTCCAAAAGGGACTACTTTGACTCGCGGCTGCCCTGGGACTCCAGCTCACTAAGGAACTCTTGTGGGGCGGGAGAGGGTTAAGAACAGCTCTTGCTGGAGGGACCCACTTTTTCCCTGGAGGAGGTGGGTGTTAATCCGTGGCAGTGTTCACAGACGGTCTTTACCAAGAACCTACATGCACGGGAAGTCTGGCTCTCGGGGCACTGAAGTCAAGGTCCGTGTTTTTATCTCCAGGCTTCCTTTGTCCACGAGGCAGCCTACTTAAGCTCTCAAAGAGAAACAGAAGGTAATTAGACACTTTGCCTATTAAAAGATCTTTCAGAGATGACAGGAATGAATAATGTGGAAACACACTACATCCGAGCAGGAAGGAGCTGAGAGCTTTGATGAAAAGGGGGTGGGAGGAGGGAAGGGAGAGCAGCAGAGGGGTTACTGATTAAAGTACACTAGATTCATGGGTGAAGCACCATGGTGAAGCTGCTTTGCAACGACTATACACTTGAAAAATGAAAGACTGGAATGAAAAACAGGTCCTGTTGGGGGATGGGTGCTACTGGGAGAGGGAGGGCAAACCGGGAGGGTGCAGGACGGGGAGCAAGGTCAGTGCACTCTTATGAAAATAGAACGGTGAAACCTGCTGAGATTATTTTAAGTCGGGAGAGGGAGGTGAGGGAGAATGACGGAGGGAATGAATCTAACCAAGATTCACAGTAAACACACTAGAAATGTGACAATGAACCCACTCTTACAACTAATATATGCTACTAAATGGTTATAAGTTAAATTTAAAATTAGAAAAAAACATACCTTTAAGAATGCTGCCAAATAATAGCTGACTGTAAGAACAGCAACAGTACTTTCCACGTAAAAACATCAGGATAAAGCTGGGCATGGTGGCTCTCCCCAGCTACTTGGGAGGCTGAGATCAGGAAGACAGTAGTTCCAGACCAGCCTGGGCAAAAACGTTATCAAAGCCCCATCTCAGTGGAAAAAAGCTGGGCTTGAGGTTCATGCCTGTCATCCCAGCTACAGCAAGAAGTGTCAAACAGGAGAGTGGAGATCCAGGCTGGTCTGGGCAAAAAGTGAGACCCTGTCTCCTAAAATACCCAGAGAAGAAAGGGCTAGAGGTGTGGCTCAAGAGCTAGAGGCCTGCTTCACAAGCTCGAAGCCCTGAGTTCAAACCCCAGTACCAAGCAAAAAAAATCAGGATAAGCTGTGAAACCAAGGCGTCAGCTCTAAAATAAGTCCTGCCTTAGAAAACAGGGAATGCATGATCCCCACCCTTAGAAAATTCATGTTCTCACCTTCACATGTGTGAAAGCTATAAAACTCCAAGACAAAAACAAAAGTATCTTTTTTTAAGATTTAAACTTTAAAGGCAAGCAATTTTCCCATGCAGAAATCTGTAACTTTTGGGGGGGCAATAGTGGGGTTTGAACTTAGGGTCCTGCACTCAGGTGCTCTACCACTTGATCTGCAACCCAGCCCTTTTGCTTTAGTTATTTTTCTTTCTTTTTTTTTTTTTTTAATTTTTGGCAACACTGGGGTTTGAACTTAGGGCCTCATGCTTGCCAGGCAGGTGCTCTACCACTTGAGCCACTCTGCTAGCTGTTTTTTTGTGATGGGTATTTTCAAGACAGGGTCTCGCAAACTATTTGCCTGAGATGGCCTCAAATGGTGATCCTCCTGATCTCTCCCTCCCAAGTAGCTAAAATTATAGGTGTGAGCCACGGGTGCCCACTCTTAGTTATTTTTCAAATGTGTTCTCCTGGTTTTGGCTGGGACTGGCCTGGATCAAGATCCTATTTACTCCTCCTGCATATAGCTGGGATCACAGATGCTCAGCACCACACCCAACTTATTGAGATGGGGTCTTGCTAACTTTTTTTGCACAGGCTGACCTCATACCTCAACCCTTAGTTTCTGAGTAGCTGGGATTATAGATGTGAGTCACTACATCTTGGCTTTGTTCTAAACTTTTTTTGACGGTTGGGTTCTAAATGAAATAGAAGTCCGGGCACAGGCATTTTTCCTTAGTCAATATACATACAATAACCTGTGTAGTTCTTCCCTTTTCCTCTCAGCAAAACTCTGCAGAGGAAACTCCGGGTCATTGTTACAACTAAAGCCCTGCCAGGGCTCCTGCCAGCACTTCCTCCATCCACTTTTCACCCAGGAGTGTGCTAACTCCTGTAGCCCCACCTCTGGGACAGACAGGGGAGTTGGCCATAACTAAAACTGTTGCAGCTCTGCAGTCATTCCACAAACGAAGGCCTAGAAAATAAGCGGTCCACCGTATTATAACTGAATTTAAGAAAATTACAACTAAGTGTCACTAACAGACCTATTTTCGAGGAACTACATCACAGAGGAAAATGGGTATCTGATTTTGACCAGGGTGGAAGGGGTTCACAGAGGAGCTGAGAATTGAGCCAGCAGCTTGGAGAAGAAAGCCTTCTTCAGAAAGGCTGGGGAGTTGAAAATATGCATTCCAGGGAAGAAACGAGCTCAAGGTCATCCTTCTTGGCTGATCTTTTTTTGGCTCTTTTCCTGAGACTCCAGTGTCTTCAGACTGTGCCTCCCAAAGCACATACTTCTAAAACAACCTGACCTAAACCTTTCTTGCCTACAGAGGTTGTCCACACTCGGGGGCTGCGACATGTCAGACAGCAGGGAGGGAAGCCAGCATCACCAGAGCGCCCTGGAGTTTGCTTTGCTTCTGCTCGGCCACATGCTGGGTCCCCAGAGCGCCAGGGGCCCGTCCTTGTCCTGCAGCACCAATGTGATTGCACCAGGGGTGCAGGTGGTGTCAGGATGTCTTGGGTCCCCAGGTGAGAGGCTAAAATTCACTACTGGTCCCCTCCAACCTGAGTGCTCCTGGGAGGCGCTGTTCTCGCCACACTGGAGTTCTTTATGTCACCATCGGGCCCACAAGGCAGAGCTGAAACAATGACCCTGCCCCCTGGCTATGCCAGGAGAGTTAAGCGCAGGGATGGATGGAGGGTTGTGTGTCCTCGGGAGTAAAGGCACTGGTGGCCATGGTGACAGAGGGACCCTTACTCTTGATAAGAGCAGGGCAGGGACACTGAAGCCACTCAGCTCAACTGCTACTCTAAGGAGAGGAAAGGTGATTTTAGGTGGCTTTTGCCAGGCCCTGTACCCCTACCCAGAAAAAAGTCATATTTCAATTGTAGA